AGAAACCAAAACATAGTTGAATAATGATTTTTCAATATCGTAAAGATATGATACTATGTAAAATATTAATTCATTTGGAACTTTTACTTGAACCATCTTTAAAATTCATTTATAAAAAACAGATTATTTATAAACAAGAATATTAATAATTTATTAAAATTAAATCTCAAAAAAAAAAAAAATATCTCAAATTTTAATACATTAATTTGTAATTATTTTATTAATTAAATAAACTTGAGAAACTTAGTTTTCGTTACAATAAAGTAACTACTTAAGCATGTTTACCACTTCAAGGTGTTTCTCGTAAACATGAAAAAAATATTTTGTAAAACTTTTTGTAAGGGAGGTATATCTTCGTAGTCCCTAAACTGTACGAGATTAATCCTCATTACCAAAGGTACATTCAGAATTAATCCCTATGCAAGATAACCTTTGTATAAAAGTTTTTTTTTTAAGAAATATAAATTTTTTTTATTAAAGGATCAAATATATGGGCTAATAACCAGTAGGGTCGCCAAAAAGAGTACGTGACCTATGTTTCAAGAATATTATCTAACAAAAAAGAATACCAGGAAAAATATTCTTATAATATTCTTTCGTCAACTGCAGACGCACAATTTGCTTTTCGTTATAGTATGCTCATATATGATCGATGGATTTATATTAGCCTTGATTCTTTCGAGACTTTAACTCGATAGCGATACTCAAATAATATGAGCGTAAACTAAGTTTCTTTGCAAAGAACTAAACACCAAAAGACCTTGAAAAAATATTATTAATTAGTAATAACAAAAGAAAAAAAACTAACGAACTCTAACTTATGAATGTCCTATTTTATGCGTATACAACTTTTTGTGCGTGAAATGCAATATCCGACTTAGACATCTCATAGAGACCAGTACAAGACAATATTGAGTATTCAGAGGCCATCGTTGTATATGAAGCCCAAACAGACAACATAAGTGAAAGTTAAAAAAAAAATAGAAAAAAAAATAACAATCGACATTATAAATAAAAATTATAGGTAATACAAATTTATAATAATTAATTCTATGATTTAATTGTACAAATTAATATAGCGATGATTTTCTTTATCAATCAAATCTTTTGTTCTCAAATTCGAAAATTCGATTTGTAATACAAATTTTACAGTATTATTTATAAATATATTTCAATAAATACAAATAAGGTTTATCAATATGCATAATCTATCAATAATGCGTGAATTATATATTAATAATCAATTCCAAATTTAATTTACGATTTAAACTATATAATTTAGAAGTTGTAAAAGAATCAAATTTTCTTTAATTAAAGATATCCGCAAAGATCATATTGTAAACAAGATTAATTCTGAATGTACTTTAGTAATGAGGATTGTCTTGATACGAGTTAGTGCTTAGGAATATGAATCTCACTAAAGACATATCTTTAATTACTTTTTTTTCATGTTCGTGAGAAATTACCTTTACGTTTGGTGAACATGATACAATTCATTGTATCGAAACTAAAATTTCTCTTTTTTTTTAATTCTAACTTAAATATTAAAATATAATTTTTTAAAAATAAATGATAAATAATATTTTATATCAGTTAAAAGATTAATAAAAAATATTTTACGTTAATCGAAAATACTTAAAATTTTAAATTTAAAGACGTTACGAATTCAAAATTTTATTAGATATTTTTTTTTTATTTTTATAATTTGAAATATTATTAATCAAGAAAAAAAAACAAATTAAATAAATTTATAATGATTATATTAAAAATCAAGATTCATTTTTATATTTTTGGTTACATGATATTATTCAAAATGAAATTGTGTGATAAATTCTTTATTTTTCTTTGTATTTTAATTTATACTTTACGAAAAATATCTGAATTAATATTTAAACAACCTTTTTAACTTGAATGAAAATACTTTAATTATATAAAGAAAATTTTATATCACATAAATGGATAAATCAAATATTCAAGAAAAACCATCAAAGAATGATCAAATATCAAACATCACTTTATCTTCGCAAATAGAACAAATATTGAATAATTTAAAAATCGATTACACGAATAAAGATTCTATTAATTGTAAATTAGAAAAGATTATTGAATTTAGCAAATATTTAAGTCAATAAAAATTAATGAATTTATATTACATAATTAATATTTTAATTCAATATCTTTTATTTCTATTTCTCATATAATTTTTCTGATTATAATTCTCTAAAAAATAATACAAATTATAATTTGAATAATCATAAAAATCACGATCAAAATTTCTTTTTGAAATTTTTATTTGGGGTGGTCCTTGTAATACACCATATGATATAACAATTTCGATGAAAAAATAAAATAAAATAATTATTTTATTCATTTTTTATTTATTTATAATATTGTTTAATTCTATCATTATTTATATATTATTTTTATTAAAATTTTTTTTGACTGAATTCAGATAGAAAAAAATATTTGAAACAGGAATAAAAACTAATTTTCTATTCATTCTTGCTTCATTTTTAATAACTGCTTTATCTTCATGTATTATAATTATTTTATCCCATTCAACATCCCAATTACCACGTGAAAATAACATTGAAATAAATGATCCAACATGTAATCGATTAACCATTCTACCCTTAATACTTCGAATTAATAATTTTTTTTCTATCTTTGTTTGAAATATGAAAACACCTGTATTAATCCATTTATCAAAAATTATCGCACCATAATATATATCCATATTGGAATTGTAAAGACTAAAAACATGTGTATTTGGTTTTTTCATTAATATCATTCCCAAATCTCTCATCAAATTTATCGTATAATTATTATGTTTATCTGATATATTCAAAGTTTTTATTTTTATAAATAAAAAAAATAATATAAAAAAATAAAATATAATTTTATTCATTTTAGATAAATAAAAAAATAATATTATGATATATTTATAACAAAATCTTATCTCCAAAATTATCTCTCATGAATTTTATGACTAGCTCATTCGCTTTTAATTTTTCTGGTCTAAAATTTTTCACACATAAATTTTTTATGTCAACGGCTCTTGATAAAGCTACATATAATTGTTCACTCTGAAAAACTTTTGCACAATTTATATATAACCTTTCAATTGTTAAACCTTGTGATTTATGTATTGACATTGCATATTTCAATTTTAACGGTAATTGAGTACGTGTCACCATCAACACACCCTCATTATTTTTTTTCGTAAACCTTTCCTTTCCAACCTCTATAATTTCTTCGATCCCATCAAATTTGACTAATAGTACCACATCATTCGGAGAAATACCTTTTGGAAGATCTTTTTCATATACCATATCACTTTTTATATTTCTGAACGCTACAACCTTACCTTGAGTTCCATTAACCAATCTTCGATTATCAGAATTCCAGATATAAAAAACTTCTGCACCGATTTTTAAATACAAAACTTGTTCAACTAAGGTACTTTTATCCAACCAATTAATCAATTTCTCGTGAGATAATCCACCTCTATCCTTTATCCTTTTTTTATTTTCGTCATCAATATTATCTCTGGCAACTGACCAATCAACAGAGGTATATTTTAACATTTCTCCAGGTATATCATTCAACTTGTTCATATTACAAATCGTGACTTCTTTATTCGTAGAATAAAGCCTTGTTGGCTCTCTTCCATCTTCGTATTTTACTTCTCTATCTAGTTTTTTTTATAAATGAAAGGAAATTCTTGTCTATCTTTCCAAATCTCATCCTATCAAGACCTCTGATAAAATACTCATCACTTTGTCTATATATCTTTTTTAAAAAAATGTTTTCCTCTATAGCTAAATCCCAAAGTTTACTTTGAAATGCGTATTTACCCTCAACAGGTCTCAATTGAGCAAAATCACCAGATATCACAAGTTGAATTCCTCCGAAAGGTTCATCTTCTCCACGTATCTCACGTGCAACTCTGTCAACAAATTCAAAAGTTTTTTCATTTATCATCGATATCTCA